ACATGGTGAGACCCTGTTTCTACACACACACACAAAAATTAACCGGGCATGGTGGTATGTGCCTTTAGTCCAGGCTACTTTGGAGACAGAGGCAGGGTGATCCCTTGAGCCCAGGAGGTCAAGTTTGCAGTGAGCTATGATCATGCCACTGCACTCCAGCCTGTGTGACAGACAGAGTGAGACACTGTTTTGAGGGGAGGAAAAAAAAAGTTTGCGAGTTAGGGATTAGAACAGAAGTACTTTAAAATGTAAATTATATTGTTGAAGGAATGCTTTGCTAGAAGAAAAAAAAGTGAAAAGTAAATTATATTATTTTGAAAACAGTTTAAATATATTTTATAGTAACAAATTTTGCAAATTTGCTAATAAAGGCATATGGAAATTGAGAAAAGCCCACTATTTGAGTGTTGTCCTCAAAGTTCTAACATGTTGCCTTGGGTGAATGAGAACGGTTAGATAAGAATCAGACTAGAGATTGCCAAGGTTTGCTAATTTAGGGTTTTGCTGCCTAGATTATATTGCTTATTATTAAATTGTATGCAGCATCTGAATGAGCTACTACAAGTAATTTCTTTCATTTTTATCGTATTTTTAATCAAGAAACAGGAGTTGCAGACAGATATTTGTGGTTGTGGTGAGTTTCAAGTGACAGGAACAAATGTAAAATTGTGGATGCTCTTTTCCTTTCAACCTTCCATGCTGCTGAGACAGTCATAAATATTTATTTCTGTTTAGAAATTAGGAAGGGCCTCTGCCAAAAATTATACTAGTAGTAATCCAGGTGTCCTTTCTTCTCCCTCCCCATCCGCTTGTCTGGTAGAATAACTGTGCTGAGGTGGGGATAGGGAGCACCGTTGGCGCATAAGTGGTTTTATACTTTTTCAGATCCCCCTGAGTCCAGCCAAGCCGGCTCCCATTTGGCTGTGACTGCCCAGCATGCCCCATGCTGAGATGATCCAGTTACTGAAGGACTGCTCACGTGGGGAGCCGGCCTATTGGGAGGGGGTTGGGTGAGTTCATTTCTTTCATTTTTAAGAAAAAAACAAACAAAAAAACATGGTGTGGCTTGCCACAAAAACACACCTTATGAATAAAAATGGATTGCTAGACTCTCATGGCTAAGCCATCCCACCTTTTTCTTGTGTCATTTCTTCATACTACTATGCTTCTAAGTGGAAGAAGTTTAAAGAACCTTATGAAAAATGTGAGTGATTTTTCTTTTAAAATAGAGCTATAATCAGTAAATAAAGAAGTGTCCCAGTTATTGTAACAGGCCCTATTAAAACATACCTATTTAAAATGCTAAAAATGAAACTTAGTCTTTTTAGCAATAAATTTCATTTTAGGATAACTTTAAATATATAATCTGTTGTTCTGAGCATTAGAAAAAATGTCCGTCTCTATGTGTATACTCTGAAGATTTTCCAAGGCTGACTGAAGAAGGTTGTTAACTTTTTGGGGGCACACATTTGTTCTTATTTCCTGTCAGGGTAGTAATGGGTCTTGCTCTGCAATTTGGATGGCCTCTGCCATATTCTCTTTGGAGTACTGATAGTATTACTGTCCATGAGGAGATTGGA